TAAGACAAATCACACAGTTGAAACTTGCTTCCTCAAGCATGGATTCCCACCAGGTTATAGAGGAAAAAGCAAGACTGAAGGAAATACAATTGTTGCACCATCAACTGCAACTGTTAATACTGCCTCAGAAGCGTCTCCTAGGAATTCAAATTCCTCTTCATTTGGTTTTACTCAGGAGCAGTACAATAATATATTAGCATTGCTCCAACAATCCAAGCTTACTCCCACTGTGAATTCTATTTTCGCTTCACCTTTTGTCATGCATTCTCACTCCTCCAATGTGAATGGTAAGAACCCTAACTTTTGGATCTTATATACTAGTGCTACCGCTTCACCTTATCTCTATTTCTAAATTAGTTGATAGCAATAACTGCTTTGTAAAATTTAATGCTAATACTTGTCACATCCTTCAGAATCATTCCAAGAAAATGATTGGTATAGCTAGCTTGAAAAGGGGACTCTATGTTCTTGAATCTATAGCTCATCCTTTTGGCAATATTTTTGTTACATATAATCCTTGTAATCTGTGCCACTTAAGATTAGGCCATATATCAAACATAGGTTTACAAACTGCGTCCAAAGTTTTTCCTTTCATTACATGTAATAATAATATTGTACCTTGTGACTTTTGTCACTTTGCTAAACAAAGGAAACTTCCCTTTCCTAATAGTGTTTCTCATTCTTCTACTCCCTTTAATATTCTGCATGCTGATTTATGGGGGCCATTTTCCACCATTTCCATTTTAGGACATAAGTATTTCTTGACTCTTGTTGATGATTATATAAGGCATACTTAGGTAATATTCCTTAAAACTAAAGATCAAACTAAAACTAGCCTTATTCACTTCATTGCCTACATAGGAAATCAGTTCCACACCACTCTTAAATGCTTAAGATCTGATAATAGGACAAAGTTGCTTAGTTTGTCAGAATTTCTTATGTCCAAAGGCATCATTCACAAAAGGACTTGTGTTGAAACATCCCAACAAAATGGGGTGGTGGAGAGAAAACACCAACATATTCTTAATGTGGTTAGGTCTATATTTTTTCATTCCAACATTCCCTTGAATATGTGGAATTTTTTCATGCAACATGTTGTTCATATAATCAATAGGTTGCCTACACCTTTAGTCAATTCTAAGTGTCCACATGAACTTCTGTTTAATCAACCTCCATCCTTGATTCATTTAAAAGTCTCTGGCTGTTTGTCCTTTGCTACTTCTTTACAAGCTCATAGGACTAAGTTTGACTCTAGAGCTAGGAAAGCAATCTTTCTTGGATATAAGGAAGGCACAAAAGCTTATATCCTCTATGATTTACAAAACCATAGCATTTTAATCTCAAGGAATGTGGTTTTTTATGAAAACGAATTTCCTTTGAAACATAAAACTCCCTCTTCTGATATATCCTCAAACCCAATTCAAAACTTGGATGATCCTCCCACTGACATACAATATCTCTCTCCTAGTCAACAGCCTAACACCATTGATATGTCCTTTTCTTCTGATATATCTACCCCTACCAATGAAAATGATGACAGTACTGCTACTATCTATCCCTTTACTGTCAGCTCTCCTAGTCCTAGCTCAACCAACACTAGCCCAGCTGATTTGACCCTTCATAATAATTCCAGCCAAGTTGGTCCTAGTTCTCCACAATCTACTAATGTTAACCTTCCCAACACCCCCACTCTTTCTTCTAATTCTGAACCTGGTACAATCACAGGACCTCCTCCTATGAATGACCATAGTCACTTTTTAATTATTGGTCCTTCTTCTTCTAGTATTCATCCTACCATAGAGCATACACATGCCTTACCCACTAATTCTTATTCTGCTATGAATCCATTAGAGGACTCTACTACCCTTTCTCAGAATTATGCAGAAAATACCCTTTTACCCACAAGACATTCCTCTAGAGCATCTCATCCTCCTCAATACTTAAACGACTATCATTGCTACTCTACTACCTCTAACCATTCCTTCAAAGTCTTATATTCTTTGTCCTCTGTCCTCACATATGATCAATGTTCACCCTCTTATAAAAACATTTGTTTATCTTTTTCTTCTAATACTGAACAAAAAACTTTCAACCATGCCATTAAATTTGATTGTTGGAAACATGCTATGGATGTTAAGTTACATGCTCTTGAAGAAAACCAAACATGGAGTGTAGTTGATCTTCCACCAGGAAAATATCCCATCGAGTGCAGTGGGTTTATAAGATAAAATACAAGGCAGATGGATCCATTGAGAGGTATAAAGCTAGACTGGCAGCTAAAGGTTACACACAAATGGAAGATATTGACTATTTTGATACTTTTCACGTGTAACCAAAATAACAACAGTAAGAATCTTATTGTCTATTACTGCAATAAAAGGTTGGTACCTAGAAGAATTGGATGTTAACAATGCCTTCCTTCATGGTGATTTACATGAAGATGTATATATGACACTTCCTCCTGGTCTCTCCACATCCAATCATTTTAAAGTGTGCAAGCTTCAAAAGTATTTATCTGGTCTTAAACAGGCAAGCATACAATGGTACTCTAAACTCTCATCCTTTTTTATTTCTTTGGGTTACACTCAATCACAAGCTGACCAATCTCTATATGTGAAGTCTCACAAGGATTGTTTTACTGCCATACTTGTCTATGTGGATGACATTGTTATTGCTGGTAATTCCATTCTTGAAATTCAATTTGTTAAAGGTATTCTTAATCAGAAGTTTAGGATAAAAGACCTTGGTCAGCTTAGATTTTTTTTGGGTTTTGAGATTGCTAGGTCATCTAAAGGAATTTTCATGAATCAGAGAGAATACACACTTAAATTGTTGGAAGACACGGGCTTCCTTGCAGCTAAACCATCCTCTGTCTCCTTTGATCCTAATCTCAAATTATCTCCCACTAATGGTGAACCTTTAGTAGATCCAACTTCTTATAGGAGATTAATTGGCAGGATAATATATCTGACAAACACTAGGCCTGGTATTTCATTTGCAGTGCAACATCTAAGTCAATATGTCTCTAAGCTCCTTGTTTCACATTATCAGGTTGCTACAAAGGTTTTAAGATTCTTCAAATCTTCTCCTGCTAAAGGAATTTTATTTCCAGCTTCTAGTTCTTTAAAATTCTATGCTTTTGCGGATTTTGATTGGGCAAAGATGTCCTACTACTAGGAAATTCATTACTGACTTTTGTGTCATCCTTTGATTATCATTTCTTTGATGGAAATCCAAGAAGCAAAACACAATTTCAAGATCCTCCACTAAAGCTGAATATGAAGTTTTAGCTTCTCTTACATGTGAATTTCAATGGATGCAATATCTCTTCAATCATTTTATAATTACTTTTTTCCAGCTTGTATCAATTTACTGTGATAGCAAGTCTACTATATAACTTGCACATAACCCTACTTTGCATGAAAGGAGCAAGCATATAGAGTTGGATTGCCATGTGGTTCGAGAAAAAATTGTTTACAAATTGATTCATTTACTTCCTGTCTCAACTACTGCCCAATTAACTGAGGCTTTCACAAAACCTCTACACTCTCCATCTTTTTTTCTCTATTATGACCAAGTTGGAACTCTGCAGCCTCCAAAATTCAACTTGAAGGAAGATATTAGCTTTTATATATATATATATATATATATATATATATATATATATATATATATATATATATATATATATATATATATATATATATATATATATATATATATATATATATATATATATATATATATATATATATATATATAATATATTGTGTAGTTTGCTTAGCTGGTACTTACCCATATATATATATATATATATATATATATATATATATATATATATATATATATATATATATATATATATATATATATATATATATATATATATATATATATATATATATATATATATATATATATATATATATATATATATATATATATATATATATATATATATATATATATATATATATATATATATATATATATATATATATATATATATATATATATATATATATATATATATATATATATATATATATATATATATATATATATATATATATATATATATATATATATATATATATATATATATATATATATATATATATATATATATATCAAATACACTGTACTATGCCATTGTATTGAATATAATAGATTTACTTTCATCTTCTTTTTCTTCAATGCATTCAAGATTGACTTTCTGTTATTCGGTTCTTGGCTTTCTGTTACATAAGTTGTGCCATTATCAACACTTATATTCATAGCCGCCTTTTAGAGCATACAAAATAGACTATGGTAAAGAATCTCAAATTTTTTATAGTTAATATGTGACAAAATATCATAAAAAGTTTATAATAATTAAATAGTATCTATATTTATTTTTTCATGAATAAACTACAATTAATTTATACGTATCTTCAAAAAATTGAGACGGCAAGTCATATTGAAACTTATGTCAACTTAATAATAGTATTTCAATTTAATCATTGAATTAAATATTTAATAAATTATTTCACCATATGTCACTGCTTTTGTTAGTAGGTACTGATATGGGAAATTAAATTAGTGCTAATACTCTATGTGTGTTTTATTGACTTTATCTTGTGGTAGGCTATTTTTTATCTATCTCAATCATTCACTACTATTATTATTTAAGGTGACGGTTTTTGTTTTTTATGAAAGGGAGTGGCATCTACTTTCTTTTTTTGTGATTTAAGAAGTCAAATATATAATTACCCTCTTTCTTTGAAAATTGAATGTTGTATTCTTTCGGATGTTGAATGTTTCGTAAAAAAAAGTAGCAATTTAAAATAAATTTATGACAAAAGAAATATTGAATGTCATATTTTGACACGGCACTGACGTTGGACTTTTCTGTATGATTCAACAAAGTAAGGAAAAATAGCGCAGTCTTGCTTGAAAAATATTCATATATGTGTAGTAGCAACAAAGTTAGATTAAACAACCACAGAGAAAGCGTGATAATGGCAGAGGGAAAAGGAAGAGTTTGTGTAACAGGAGGTACTGGTTTTATTGGTTCATGGATCATCAAGACTCTCCTTCAAAATGGTTACACCGTTAATACCACTGTTAGACCTGATCCAGGTAAAACATTTATCGAATAAATATCGATATTGTTAAATTATTGTGCATGAGTTTCTAGTAATTATTATCATTTTTGTAAAAAGCAGAAAAAAAGAGAGATGTTAGTTTTCTCACGAATCTTCCCGGCGCATCTGAAAAACTAAAATTTTTCACGGCGGATCTTAGCAAACCAGAAAGTTTCAACGAGGCAATAGAAGGATGCGTTGGAATATTCCACACCGCGACTCCAATGGATTTCGTAGAGACCGAACCAGAAGAAATAGTGACAAAAAGAAACATCGACGGAGCATTAGGAATTCTAAAAGCATGCAAAAACTCTAAGACGGTGAAGAGAGTCGTTTACACTTCAAGCGCTTCTGCTGTTTATCTTCAAGAGAAAGAATTAGATGTATTGGATGAAAGTTATTGGAGTGATGTTAATCTTCTTAGAACCTTGAAGCCTTTTGCTTGGCCGTATTCGGTTTCCAAGACACTAGCGGAGAAAGCTGTTCTTGAATTCGGAGAACAAAATGGGTTGGATGTTGTGACTGTTATACCAACTTTTGTTGTTGGACCCTTCATTTGTCCTAAGCTTCCTGCATCGGTTTATAGTTCACTATCTTTCTTGTTTGGTAAGTAAAGATTTTTTTTTTTTTTTATTTTAATGTTTTTTTTTCTAATTTTTATATTGAGAATGAAAAATTGATTAATGTTGTAGGGGACAAGAATCCATTTGCTATGTCTCATCTTCATATTGTGCATGTTGATGATGTTGCAAGAGCACATATATTTTTGTTTGAGCATCCAAATCCAAAAGGGAGATATAATTGTTCACCATTCATTGCACCACTTGAAGAAGTGGTTCAAATTCTTTCTCCTAAATATCCTGAATTTAGTATACCAACATTAGAGTGAGTTATAATATCCCTTTCCTTGGAAACTTATTTTTTGATATTTTTTTTTAATTTTGCTAATATTCAATTTTTTTTTTATAGGGAGGTGAGGAAAATTAATGGTCACAAGCTTTCACATTTAACCTCACAGAAACTCAAGGATGCTGGATTTGAATTCAAGTATAGTGTTGAAGAAATGCTGGATGATACAATTCAGTGTTGTAAGGAAAAGGGTTATCTTTGATAAAATAAAACAAGAGGGTTATGTATTGTTTTAACAAAAGACAATGAGTAATAATAATGAAGTTATTATATATCAAGTAGTAACTATTGTATGTAGGAAGGGGTGAGGGAAAATAAATGTATGCTTTTAGCACTTAGTGTGCGTCTGAAGAATCAGATTAAATTAAATCCAAATTAGTGTATTCATTATGTTTTCATAATCTTTCATGATTAAAAAATGTTTGCATTTTAGCACTTTGTATGTATCTATTATGATTTTAGAATTTGTTTCACGGCGCCCATAAGGTCTAAGAAGCAAAAGCCCAATAATGATTTGAGACACCTAAATATTTATGTAGACAATTTTCTTTGTAGGAGCCGATAATCTCTTAACTAAACATTCTCTCAATTGTCCAAATCAAAGATGACTTAACGTTAGTGTCACTACTATAAAATAGACATTTCGTAACATCAATTTTACAACGGTCATAGTGTTAACTATGATAATATTTTATTTCTGTGCGCATTTTTTATTTATTTACTAGAGGACATGTCACAACGGTCAAATGAAGCAACCATAGTGAAAGGTACACGGAGTGAAATGATTTGAATCCCAACACCAACAATTAGTCATTTATCATGATAAAAATTTTATTGACCTTGTATATCACCACAGTTTTTATTACCAACCGCGACGAAAAGTGATACTTTATTTATATATAAGCGAAATTATCTATCGGTTTAGTACATAACAACCGTCTCTCTCAACACAACACCCTAACAACTCTTTCACAAGTCTCTCTCAAAACAAAACTCTAACGATTCTACCACTCGTCTCTCTCATATGGAAACCCTAAAACGAAACCATAACAACAAATCTTAGCCAATGAGTATTTACAGGTTCGTTTTCTCTATAGTTTTTTTTTCAATAGCTTGTTTCATGATGTTCGAACTTTCTTCTTGTTTTGACTTGTAGGTATGAATGTTTCTTTCAATAAAGAGGATGAAGCTAAATTGAGCCTTGCAAACTTGTGTCAAAGATTCAGAATGACATCCATTCAAAATATACACAAATTTGCGGATCTAAATTTATCTTCATCCTTATTTCATTGTTGACACGCCATTATGGGACATGTATGATATGTTTCTGAAATATTTTATGACTTGATATGTTTGTTGTGTCATGTTTGTTGTTTATGGTTTGTTGTTGATGAATATTTTTGATGAATGTTGTTTATTAATGTTTGTTTAAAAGATAAGTTTATTATATATTATGTGGTTGTAGTGTTTTTTCAATCCTTTGTCGAATATGTAACTTTTCAAACTGTATTAGAAATTTATGATATGATAGATAAAATTGTATTAGAAAATAAGTACACGTTCAATTCTTGACAAAAAAAATTCACACTGTTAACTGCATGTTGTTCTTTGACAGTTAGAACTTGGTTTAATGATTGTAGATCTTTAACCACCCCTCTCTCCACCTCTAATTTTGTTTGCAAAGTAAATAATATTTTGTAAAAAGAATTAGAGGTGAAGGCAGGGGCGGTTGAAGAAATAGGATCATTAAACCAAGTTCTTACTTTCAAAGAACAAAATACAGATAAGGAGTTGAAGAACTCTTGTCTAGTATTGAAAGTGAATTTATTTTTCTAATATAACTTAATTTTTCATATTATAATGTTCTAGAGAAAATTGGAAGGTTATATGTTTAGTGAGCATTGACGAAATAAGCAATCCACGTAATTTATAATAAACTCGGGTCTATATATCACAACGGTTGTTTAGCATAACTGTTGTTAAATATGTTGCATTAAAGAATATCACAACATTTGTTTAAAGTAACTGTTGTGGTAGGTAGCGCGCTACATGGATACAATCACGATCGCACGTCCGTGGTGGAAATCATCATACATATAATCACACCTTACCTTACAACGATTGGACCAACGTGGTCGTATCCCTTTTCCAACTGTTGTGATATGTGTTTTACGTCGTAGTTTATATTAACTTTGCAAGTCAACTCTCTCTCCACCGCATCAGAATCTTTGAACCACCACAATAGATTGTGAATTCATTATTTTCTATTAACTCTACTTCTAGCATAGAACATTGGTGCCATCAACGAGAATCTACTTCGGATTCCTGCGATTTTCCAAAATCAAACTTCTCTTGAATCAACCGAATTAATCTTCTCCGTTAGAAATCCAAATCTCCTTCAATTGAAGCACATACCTCAATTTCCTAATCACTTGTGTTAGACTCAAACTCTCATCATTCTAATCCTCCATCAGATTCGTCAAAAATGACGACTTCAAAAGCTACTCGTTCCATCATCCAATGGCAAACCACTGATGCCGCTGAAGTGGCAAGGAATCCTCCACCTCATCCTCAAGGGATGAACGATCAATTCTTGACGATTTCCCAATCATTTCCTCTACTATAAGATCATCTACAACCTTGGGCATATCATGGAGTGTTTAAACCTTTCTTCATTCCTCAAATCTACATCACAGTTTTGCTTAGGAGAACCTTCACTCAGACAACCACCACCACCTATAATGTCTAGGCGAGAAATGCTTCCCGACTTTCAACTCTTGTAGGATAATCTTGGTTTGGAAAGAGCCAAAGACCTGTTATAAAATGTCTATCATATGGTGCAGCAATAGAACTCCCAGGCCATTGCAAAATTGAAGAAAGTTTACACAATGGTAATCTGAAGAACAACATTATACAAGAGGCGGCTTCACACAAAACTGCCACCCCTAAACCAATCAGAGATCCATATGTTAGCAAGCATTCGACGACATGGGTACCACACTCCTTTACTTGATCCCGAAGGAGGAAAAAGTATCCATACTCCTCCTAATGTTCATTGTCTTATGGAAGAGAGAAAGATACAAGGAAGATGCTCCCATCGGGACACGAAAGAAAAATCTTATGTCCTCTCACATCCTATATAGAAAAATTACAAAGTAAATATAGAAGTCGTCAAATCTCCAGAGTTACAAAGCGATTGGAGATCCATATGAACATGCCAAACATGTAGATGATCTAATAGATTACTATCATACGTATGTAGCCGTGAAGCGCAAGCTCTTTGCACTAACCCTGATGGAATTAGTTGTAGCTTCGTACAAGTCTCTTCTAGTTGGAAGCGTGACTACTGGTGTAGCTTGTGTGAAACATATTCACCTCCCAGTTTAACGGTAGGAAGAGGCAACTAAATATAATTATTGTGCTTAGCGGAACCATTCAGGGTAAGAAAGAAACCATGTGGAGATACATTGATTGCTCCACTAAAGTGGTAGTGGCTATTGAGGGATTGGATGAAAGCCTGAAGTGTTAGATCTTTGAAAAATGATATAAACCAAAATGTGTGTTTCGGGTGTAAAGAGGCTCATAATATGAAGGAATTGTTGAGTAGGGAACAACCCTACATCAACTATGAAGAATACCTCTTTGATGACGGGGTTAGTCGTGTACAAGGAAATGCAAGACTTAGACGACTATGAAAAAAGGATGCTAGAAGGCCCAAAGAAGAAAATAAGCATATACCTTGCTCCAGGTTTGATGCATGCACTCCCTTCAACACTTCATGGAGAGAATCTTGAAAGAATGCGTAAACACAAGAAGTAAGCTTAAAGAACACGTACTCGGTCAGGGTATCCACCAAAATGGAAAAATCTAAATATTTCAGGTTCCACAATAGTCAAGGTCATAATGCAAATGATTAAATACAAATGAAGGATTCAATTAAAGGGCCAATCAAGAAAGTGTAACTGGCCGAATACACTAGGGATAACAAAATAGGTTGGGAGGAATCTCCAAGGAAAAAACAATCTCCCAAGAAGACTATTGCCACTATAGATCGGAGCAAAGGAAAGGATGTGATTAGTGGTGAAGAAAAATGGCACAAAGGGAAGTGCCAATAAATCACTTCCATCATAGCAGGCTCCCCAAGGGCAAGCAACGTATCTATGGGAACAATAAAGAGGAAGATTTTTGTATTGATAATGACCAGTAAGAAGGACGGAAATACTTTAGCTAAGAGCCCAGAAATACAAATCAGTTAATTCAACGATAATTTAAAGATGATACGTATCCCAAACAAGTTCTTTCTTTTGGTAATAACAAACCATAATTTCCTACTTCGACGTCTCTAGAGTATAGATTGATGGCGGCAACTCCTGTGACATCATGCATTGGGACCTCTTCAAGAAGATGGAGTTGAAAAAGGAGAAGTTTTGGCCCTACAAAGGGTCTGACCTATAGATCTTTAAAGGGACTTTAATCCACCCCTAAGGGTACATAGTGTTAATGGTCACCCTAAGAGAAGGAAGGGATACTAGGATTGTCGACTTTCAATTGGAAGTAGTTTCTTGCAGAAGCCTTTATCGTTCCATTTTAGGTTGTCCCTTCAAATAAACTATTGAGGAATTTTCTTCCCCAGTCCACCTCGACCTGAAGTACCAGAACGTTCACGATGAGTCGGTGACTATAAGCGCCAACCTTTCTAGAGAAAATAGGACCTACAAGTTGTTGCAGCAAGACTTGAAATAATATGATGGAAAATCTATGAAGATCAATGTGGTCTCTTTGATCAAGAAGATGAAAGACATGATTATCCAACCTCATATGCGGAATGTAGATTGTCTCAGCCAAACAAGTAGTGGCTAATCCGCATGAGGTTGAAGACAGCTACCACGATTCTTGTGGCCAACAAGTGGTGGCATAGCCACCTCGTTAATTTAAAGGTTTCTTTTTAAAAAGTGATTTTGAGTTCTCGTGAAAAAGCCAAAGCCTTGTTTTTCTCATTCACTTCTTGGGAAAAAAACTTCACCTTTTCAACTAGAGTGTCGAGATACTCAAAAGGCTCCATGACAATTTCGATATAAAAAAAGAGTTAGAAGCACCATGGATATCCTCTAGATATTGTTTTTGTTCAAGTGTAAGGTCATCGACCCGTTCTTTGAGGTTCTCCCTCTCTTGTCGGAGATTGTTAGATAAGAAATCATTTCC